TTTCTAAGCCCATACACATGTGTCCACCATGTTATGTTTTGGGAGAGGGAGAGGGGGAAAAGAGGGACAGGTATTGTGAGAAATGGTCAGACAGGGTGGGAGAAATGTACAGAACAAGTAGAATGGTCAGAGGTAAGTCAGCTGAGGTGAGGGAGGGTGCTCAGAGGGCCAGGTTATTAAAGCTCTGTTCTAGTCTCCCCACTTTGCTCCCGACTCTAGGCAAATACATTCTTACCTCCATGCACAGAGTGCTGTCCCATCAGGGACTTGGCCTGGGGGAGCCTGGCTTGGTACCCAGTCTTGCTCGCAACAACCACTTAGACCCCAAGTCACTAAACTTCCATGTAATTGCCTTTTCATTTTGTGTCATTACTGAGCCCATGTTTTTCTGACCTCTCTGAACTTCAGCCTAAACTTCCAGAACCCCAGCCCAAGCCTTGCCATGCCCAGTACTTTTCTGGGGCTGCCTGAGTCTTGGTGTGTAGTACGTAAGACTTGCAGAGGTATGAAATCATCACTAGCTGTGATGGAAAAGAAAAATGGCTCTTCAGGAACAATTATTCTAAGCTGATTGAGAAGGACTAGCGAATTAAAAGGGAGGGCTTGGGCGTGGTATGAAGGCTGACACCCACAGGGTCTCAGGTCCCGCCGCCCTTGGGGAAGGAGGCCTAGTCGGCTTTGCAAAGGCAGGTACGAGGCCTGATCTGGCCTCTGGGACCGGGTAGGTCGGGATTTAGGTAATACTTGGTACTTCTCCTTTCTGGCCTCAGAAAGGGGAAGATGAGGACGACTGAAACTTTGCAGGGTGACTGTAAACTTTAGAAATAACATGCACAGTACTTTAGGCACACTGGAGAGACAGAAAGGAGGTGGGGCCTATTATCATTCTTATTAAGGAAATAGTATGAGAAAGGCTTTTTTCCTGCCATGAGTACTCAAGCAATCATCACCATTTTTCATGCTGTTTTGCTTGTCCAAAAGTTGAGGTGTGACCATTTGGTGAGTAAAAGCTGACCGTGCACCCTGAGTGCTAAATTTCAGAATAGAGCAAGTCTCTGGAGCTGGAAGCCAGCTCCTGGAGATGTCAGAATGCACTGCCCAGAGCTGAAGTGAGGAGTCTTCCAGCTTTTTACATGGGAGAGTTTTAATACCTGCCTTTTCCCTGCTTCAAAATAGAGATGCAATTATTGCCTGAGTATCACTGTTATACAAGGAAACTAAAGAAGAATAGGCCAAGATAAGTAAAGGAAAACAACAAGTCAATCATAGCCGGAAAAAAATGTCAAGCAGGGCGGGACTGTAGAAGGATGGGAGTGACATACAGGGTAGGAGACCCACTAATTGTGCAGGTGACCCGACGCCCTGGTTAGCGGCTTTGTCCCAGGATGGTTTTCAGTAGTGCCCCCTTTTACTCTTAGGAATGTTCAAGTGTAGGTGATAAATTCTTTGGTCAGCCAGTCATATGGAGTATAGAGTATCACTCACACATTTGTGTAGTGGGAAGGGGAAGCTGTATTCCATTTGGGCCTTGAATTTCCCCAGGTAGATGGACACTCAGAGAGGGAACTTCCAGAAATTTGCTCTCTGAACAGAGGGGAGAGGGTACTCTTCTTCGTATTTCCAGTAAGCCCCTCTGACTATTACTTAGGCTCATCTGCTGGCTGGTGAAATGGAAACAGAGACAGGAGAAAATAGGAGGGTGTGGGGTGCCACAGGGAGAGTAGGACAAGCCTGAGGAATCACAGGGTCATCAGTCAGTTGTTTTATGCCATGAAATCAAATGGGGAAGTGGATTGAATGACTGTGCTTCTCTGCCGTAACTCTGTCTGTCTTGCTGGAAGGCACAAGTATTGCTTGGAGAGTGAGCCCTATTAGTCAGTGGCCTGACGTGGCCTGAGGTCAGTGTCTCTGTTGCATACTGTCCTATTCTGGTGTCCTTGGGGAGCATCCTAAAAGGAGGCCACCAATTTCTGACCATTGTAGAAGAGACCATTTAAGTTTTGGGAATTTGTCCAAGCCCCACCGGAAGTGAGGATGTGTATATGTGTGTCCGGTGGGAGATGTGGGTGTGCCTCCCTGATCCAGGAAATGTGAAAAGGCAACTCCCACAACTCCGGCTCCACCCAGCCAGCCCCCTGTGTTCTATTTTAAAAGCTCCAGGGTAGCTTGATCTGATGTCTGTCCATCCCCTCCCCTCCTTGTTTACTGGAACATTGGGTCATGGCAGTGCAGCTGGAATGCAATCTCTGGGCGATTCAGCAAGGCCGAGGCAGGCCCTACAAGGCGTCATATCACTGCACTGTTTTTCTTCCCCTCCCACTGAGTTTTCTTGAAAGTTCTGAGCCAGGCTCAGTGTGGATCTCCACAGATGCATTCCAAATTCCCAGCTGCTTGCTACTCAGCCAGTCCCATAGCCTCCCCTTTTAAATGCAGGTGCCCTGAAAGGTTAGAGGTGAATAAGCCTGGACAGAGGGCTATCCGAGACTCTTGATGTGTTGGCTACCGCCCACTGTCACTCATGGTTCAGCTAGCTTTCTCTCTTAAAAAGCAAAGAGGAAAATAATCTTTGTGTGAGATGCCTTTGTGATTCAATTGAAAAGAATGAGAAGCAAACCTGTCTTCAGGCTGTGCATCTGTTCCAGCAGAGGGGACTGGGTGGTTCCAGTAAAGGGAGACTTGGCCACCCTTTCCCTTCCTGAGTACAGATGTCACATGACTGTCTACCACCCTGATCTATCACAGCCTTGCTCCCTATTTCCCTTCAGACTTCCTGACCCCTTAATTTCTTCCTCTCAGTCTTTCTCATTATGATCACTTCATCCTTTTCTAGACTAGAGAAAATAATGGGGGGCAGGGAAGAAACAACTAAACACATCAATTATGTAAAAGTCATATTTACCTTAGTAAGAGTGAAAAAGGAGCCTTGCCTTTTCTTAGAGTTCTTCTTGCTATTGATTCTTTAGGGCTGAGCCCTGGTTCTGAAAGCTCTGGTGACCTGCAGCCTGCGCATCACCTGGGAACTTGTTGGAAATGCACATTCTCTGGCCATAGCCCGGAACTGCTGAATCAGAAAATCCTGGGGTGAGGCTCAGCAATCTTGAGTTTTAACAAGTTCTCCAGATGATTCTGATGTGTGCAAAGTATGCAAACCTCTTGGTAGAGGATTCTCCATGGGGATGGGGAAGGGGAAATTTGAGGTTTTTCTCTGCTTTCCAGATGTCAGAATCAGTGTGAGGAGGACAGCCTGTGTCATACTCCTCATGGCTAGCTTATGCACCTTGCCTTTCAGGTGCAGGTGTGAGACTGGAACAGGTGTGAGAGTTAATGTCAGGAGAAGGGCCAGGAAGGAAATGATGGAGGCCCTAGTGGATGCACTCAGTGAGCGGGCTTCCAGGGATGCCCTGTGGTCAGGGGTTTGGAGCTTCCTGATCTGCCTGTGTGCAGCACCCTCCAACAGTATAAGGACACCCGAGACAAGCTGTGCAGTGTTGTAGATTCCATCACTCAGCTTCTCATCCACTCTTAGGCAAACAAGACAGCCACTCATTATAGATGGAAATTGTGGAGTTTATTCCTTTAATCTTTTTTATTGAATTAAATCAAGAAAATAACTAGAAATGTGTTCTTCATCTTGCCAGTTCTTTGCTTTCTATTCTCTGAAGAGTCCCCAAGTTTATTAAGAGGATTGGGATCTGTCAGTTTAGGTTGGCAATGTCCAATTTGGTTGCTCCTAGCCACATGTGGCTATTGAGCAATTGAAATGTGGATAGTCTGAACTAAGATGCAATGAAAGTGTAAAACACACCATATTGCAAAGGCCTAGTCAAAAAAGGTATAAATTATTTTATTAATAATTTTATATTGATTTCATGTTGAAATTGTAACACTTTGGATATACAGGGTGGGGTAAAAGTAGATATACAGTTTAGTCTTATATTGTTATTTATTAGTTATTATATTATTTCCAATACAAATAACTGTAAAACTACCTTTGCCCCATTCTGTATTAGGTTAAATAAAATATATTATTAACATCAATTCTACCCATTCCATTATATTTTTTAGAGTGTAGCTACTTGGAAAATTACAATGACAAGTATGGCTTGCATTTGTGGTTCACATTATGTGTTCATTGGACAGTGCTGGTCAGGCTATCCTGGGGCTCTGGTCAAGCAGAGTGTTTTGAGTAAAACTTGTGAGTATATGAGAAGCAAGGACAAGGAACCATGTAGGGCATATTCAGATGAGGCGATGTAGCCTAAAGCATTGCAGCTAATCTGAACCTTGGAGCTATAGACATAGCAGAGTTGAATCTGGACTTTGACACTCATGTGATCAAGTACCTTAATCTCTCTGAACCTTAGTCTTCTCATCTGTAAAAAGGATTGTTTTGCTTCTGATCATACCAAAAAAGATGTGCACGGAGAACCATAGGAGCACAGAGGTTGGGCTCTCATATAGCCGGGCTAGGCCAGGGTGCACACTGGAGTCAGGGAAGATTCAGTAGGAGGCAGGAGCTTTTGTTGAGTTTTGTGATTAATGTAGTGTAGAATATCGGGGGGGGGGGGGGCAGGGACTCCAGGCAAGTCTGTCAAAAGTACAGAGCCCGAGATAGCGTGGGGAATCCAGAAATCTTTCAGCAGCCCATAACCAGCCCCTTTCAGCTTGCTGATAATTAGGTGCCCCCTTTAAGTGGTTTCCTTTCAGGTTGTTCCAGAAGAAGCTAGGAGGGCTCTCTGCTGGCAGCATGGAGCTGTTTCTCTCAGTTGGCCCAAGCAAGTCAATCCTTGGCCCCTGACCCACTTAGACGAAGTTCTGCAGTTAGACGAGCACACTCTCTTTAGAAAGCAACTTAGAAATCTTCTACTGTTGCTTAATCATGCCCTGGGGGACATCACCCTCCACCCTTGGCCGTTTATCATAGGACCTCACATATGACTCATAAAAGCCTCTCCTTTATGAGTTGTGACAGTTCTGTTCTCTATGGCTTGCTAGATTCCTGGTGATGTGTTAGAAAACCTTGGAGATGGGCTCCCTGAGGGTTCCACCCCTAGGCCAGCTCCGAGAGTGACTAAAATAAAGAACTTAAGAAAGAAGTGGCAAGAAATGCAGCTAGGTAAGTAAACAAGATTATGAAAATCTTTGAATGTGAAAACTGAACAGAGAGGGCCAAAGGAAGATTAGGCTGTTGATATACAAATTGAGCCACACAGGTAAAGACTTGCTTATCCCTAATTGTTCTAAGGTACAGACTGTCCTCTCATATTATGAAGGCAAAAATCCTGCCTAAAATTTCTTTGGTGTCTTCTATGATTCCAGATACATGTTTGACACATAGGAAGTAGTAAAAAAAATGTTGGTAGGTGGGTTTGAATAGGCTACCAAGAGAGGCTGTACAGATTTTTAGAAAGAGATCCTTTACATTGCAAAAAGTCAGAATCTTAAAAGGCAGAAAATGTAGAGTTTGTATGTTTATCTGGGGTCCAAGATCCTCTTCAATTCCTCCAGCCTATTCTAAGGCTGTTTCAATTTTCCACTCTCTTCCACTAGGAGGCAACATCAATCCCACTGTCCCCTGGGACAGGGATCCTCTGTCTGTAATACATAATATAAATAAGAATACATAATGCACACATAAGTATATATTCCACCTTAAACTTTGACCTTGATTGACTGGGTAAATGTTGCCTGATGCTTGGCCAACTGGTCTTCAAAGCTCAAAACAGAGGGTTCTGGAACCTACAACACTCTGACTTCTAACTATCCCTAAAGGAGCTGCCCCATACACCAGTAAAGACTATTTTCTGCAAAGAAGCTAAATGAGTGATTGATTCTGTAAGCAATAATTGGCAAGTTCAAAAATTACAGACTCCTGTACTTGGTAAAGAGGGTTTAGAGGGACCTGGGGCTGTCTTTTTTTGTTGAGTTTTATGTAACTCTGGGTCCCTAGGGAGTTTTCACAGAAAATCAGTTCAGAGTGTGCTGGCCTCTTGTGGTGTAGCTTTCTGTTTATTTCATAATGGTTGCTATATAGTGGCGCTTTGTGCTTATGCCAGTAGCTTCAAGTCTTGAAGTAAATTAGAAATGTAATGCCCTAGCAAGCAGGCAAAGTACACTCCAAGCTTGTTTTTCTCAGGGCCCAGATTTTCTGGATTATCTCTGCCAGTGGCAAAAGTAAAACTCACAGAAAGCTATTTATTTGATCATTGTTGATAATGTATCAGTTATATGTTGTCTGGGTGTCTCAGACTGTCTTGGAAAAGATTTGTCAATCAGTTCAACAGAACCTTTCAACGCTTGTTACATCAGAGTTCAGGTTAGCTGAGTTACAGGATGGGACAGCCAAGGTCAAGGACATGGCCAGCCTCACTCAGACATACAGCTTCTGTCAAAATAAAGTTTTGGGTTGGCCTCCTGCTTAAACCTGTTTAAGAAATAATTGCTTTGATAGGTGACTGGTGCAAAAACCAAGATTATACGCTGCTACATGTGTATAGGAGGCAGAGACCATGCAAAGTTTTAGGGGAAAACCCAGCTTTTCTTCCTTTGGGCTCTGCTGAAGTCCTTCCAGGTTCTACAAAGGCAGAGTCAGCACTCTTCCCTCAGTAAACATGTAGTGAGCCGGAACTCTCACCAGGGCTGAGGATGCACGGGAAGGAGGCTTGGAGCACATGACGGGCCATCCCACCTGTCGCAGACAGGCTTGCACTGTGCTGAGGGACACAGACAAGGATTAGTCCTTTCCATGTGAACACATCAAGAGCATAAATAATAAATAGAAAGGAAATATCACTTTCAAACAGGAAATAAACATTAAAGCAAAACAAAAACACTGCCTCTGATTTTGAAGCTGCTATTATACTAGAAGAGTTACACATGTATATAATAAGGATGATTGATTATAATATAGGTAATTGCCAACTATATGATTCAGGTATTTTCTAAGTTACTATGTGGAGGAAGAGAATTTGTAATAGTAAAGACAGAGAAAGACTGGTGGAATCACGTGGCAGGAAAGCAGGGGTCTTGCTTCAGGCAAGTCTTGTTCATTTACTCAACAAATATTTATTGAACACCTACCATGTGTTTTTAGCTCCTTGAGATTCACCAATTAATAAAAGGGAAGAAGTTTCCTGTCCTTATATTCTAGCAAAGAGAACAGGCAATGACCAATAAAAGCACTTGTTCTTAAGTAACGGGCAGAAATCTAATTGTCTTTTTGTTGATTAAAGTGCTAAAAGCCATAGGACATAATATCTCTTGATCCTGAAGTCCAACTAAAACAATAATATCAAAAAGTATGTTAATGGCCCTGGCTGGCATAACTCATTGGATTGAGTGCGGGTTGCGAACCAAAGTGTCGCAGGTTCAATTCCCAGTCAGGGTACATGCCTGGGTTGCAGGCCATGACCCCCAGCAACCTCACATTGTTGTTTCTCTCTCTCTCTCTCTCTTTCTCCCTCCCTTCCCTCTCTAAAAATAAATAAATAAAATCTTTTAAAAAAAAGTATGTTAGGATAGTGATTGCTCCAAATAGATTTTGATGATGGTTTTAAAGCCAATGTGGGCCAGTGGTATGCTGGTAAACATTTGATAAATGGATCTTAGAAAGAAATAATAAAAAATAAAGCCCTCATTTGTAGCATTTGCCTGTGTGTGTGTGTGTGTGTCTGTGTGTGGTATAAGTACTCTCACTGTGACCATTTGAAATTGTTGATGAGATGTCACTGATCACAAACTTGGGGAGAGATGTGCACAGTGGCTCTTAAGGGCCAATGCAGCTCATCCCCGCACACCACTGACAGAGGGCTCATAGAAGAGTGAGACATTCCAGATGGGGGGGCACCTTGGCAGTCCAAGGACTAGTATGTCTTGTTCGTGGTGTGTGCACAGGAAGTTTTCCTTTCAAGGCTGAAATGCAGGGTAATATTTGGTGAAGCTTTACCCAAATTTAGGGAACCAAGTACCATATGTAGTATAACTTTGGAAATATGAAAACATAGTAAAACACCCACAAAAACCTTTGACTCTTAGAATCAAGCCCATATCTAGTAGGTTAAGTATCAGCATTTAAAAGAGATGCAATGTTGCTGGCTCTTGAGGTGGAAGAAAGGGGCTGCCAGCCAAGGAATGTGGGGAGGAGCATCTAGAAGCCGAAGGAAGCGAGGGAACAGATACCTTGATTTTAGCCCAGTGAGACTCATATCAGACTTCCAACCTGTGAGATAATGAATGCATGTTGTTTTAAGCACTGGGTTGGTAGTAGTTTGTTACAGCGACAACAGGAAAGGACTGCACAGGTGCTCCTCTACGTTTCTCTCCCCAGTGACAGTGTAGGTGGGACTGTGAGACTAGCTGTGTGGCTCATGGAATGTGGCTGGACCTGATGTGCACCCTATGCAAGGCTGGCTTCTGAGCCCTTGTGCAATGTGTCATAATCTCTCTCTCTGCTGGGTTAGACATCTGAATGCGGAAGGGCAGCGGAGGACTCCGAGGATGCTCGAGTGGACGGAAGAGCCAGTGCTTGCAAGAAGCCCGGATTCCTGAGTCACCATGTGGAACAGCTGCAGGAGGGGGCTGCCCCAACCAGATGCATGAGGGTTAATCCCCTGAGTTTCCAGAGTTTGTTTTTCCTGTAGGAGAGCTTCTCCTATTGTCATTCATACCCAAAATCAGAGATTCTGGAACAATTTTTAAAAATATGATATTTAAGTTTTTTTAAAAAAACTATCTTAAATGGGCAAAGCCAGAACTTTGTTAGGCTTCCTTAGTAATTCAGAGTTTTAAAAATGTTCAGTAGCACATGAAGAGCACAGTAATTAAATTTCTATGCTTAGGGTTTGTGAAGGTCTTACCCCAGTCTGTTTCTTTGGCCACTGAGGCACCAGAGATGCACAGTGAAGAAGGACAGCTCATTGGACCCTTTCTGGGTCTGCTGGCTCTTTTCTAGATATGCTTTCTGTTCCCAAAGATTTCTCCTTTTGTTCGGGAATTCCCTTTTCTTGGAATATTTACCTCACCCTCTCTTTCAAGCTCAGTTCAACTCTATTTCTTCCAAGAGCCTTTCTAGATTCCACAGGGAATAGTTAATTTTATTTTTCTATAATTCTATGTATTTTTTTAAATGCATTTACATTTGTATCTATCCCCTTCCACCAAATACACACACAGGCACGCTTTGAAATGCAACTAAAAGAAGGCCGGTGTTATTTCTTACTCACTGTCCTCTTCACCATAATATCATGCTCTGAATGCAGAAAAAGTTCATTGCATTTGTAAACTTGAATAAAATCATCTTTGGCTGAAGTCAGAGTTTGTTTGTTGGTTGGTTTATTGGTTTATTTTACCAGACAGAGTCATGTGGTGCTTTTTAAATTATCACATAAGCCACCTGGCAGTGTGCTGAATGCTGGGACACAGTGTACCCTGTGTAACTATCCTATGTCACCAACGAGGACAGCTGCAATCCGCATATAGTGTGTACCTACTATGTGCCAGGCTTTCTGCAGATGCCTCTTGTCAGCCTGAGCCTCTGGCCAAGCTTCATCTTCCAGGACTTCTTTATCAGGGAGATGGTCCCTGATAAAGATGGGTAGACTTCCAGTATCTGGAGAGCTGACTGCTTGTTTGTTGTTTGCATGTCATGATTTTTTACTTTCAGGAACAGGCTGTTTCTATTTCTTTGGCTCAGATCTCTGTGTTCCCATACCCCTATTTATGCTGAATCTATCTTATAGAATTAAACTCAATTTAGTTTTAAAATTGTGCAAGAGATCTACCCCACCCATTTTCTTTCCATTAAAATGCAAAAGGACTGTGTAGGAGCAATTTATTAAGGGGCCCTGTGGCTATTTCTAGCCCATTATTTCACCATTTCCTTACAGCTCACTGAAAAGGATTGGGGAGAGCAGGAAAGGGGGGACTTATTCTTTCCTGAGTTATTGTTTGGCCAATTCACAGGGACACTACCATCCTATACCTAGCAGGGAAGCAGCATTTATAGGGACTCTACCATCCCACACCCATCAGGGAAGCAGCATTTGGAAGCAGCCCAGGGGCAGGGCAGGCTGTGTCAGGCTGTGATGAATGGTCCAGACTGGCAGGTGGAATTTGCCCAACGACAAGGAGAGTGTGATTCGAGATAATTGTTAGAACATTAGACTTTGAAGACAGGATCTAAGTCTTGTCTATGTATCCTGGGTATCAACACAGTGACTTTGCTTAGTGACTGATCCATACAGTTTAAATGGATGCGAAATGAATGAGTGAATGCCATAGTTTTGCTTCTTTACCCAGGCATTCTTTATAAAAGCATCTCATTCATGTCTCTTGTATAAATCATGGAGTTGGCAAGGCATGCAGACCAGTGCTCTGGACTCATTCTGCTTAAGCACAAAGGCCTCGGGGACTTGGATACTGAGTTAAAAAGCGTGGGTTAGGGGATGATAGTAGAGTAGGATTTCTAGAACCTTTAGAAATAGGCTAGAGCTCCACTTCCCTATGTGGTTAGTCTTAGGTTTCTCTGCCATCCTTCCAGCATGTTGAAAGCTCTGTGAGAACCAGGATCAGCAGTGTGAAAACCAGGATTTCACCAGGATGATGGTGAAATACTCTACAGTCTACAACTCTGGGCTCTAGTCTTGGTTCTCCAGTGACAACAGGGAAGTCGCTTAACCACATGCCTTCAATTTCTCATCCATAAAATGGGGATGATAATACTACCTATCTCATAAGGTTGCTATGAAGGTTAATTTATATATTATTGACATACTCATCCCAGTCCCTGGGACATAAGAAACTCTAAATAAATGGGAGCTGTTATTATAATTAGCTCCAAGCATAGCACACAGAACTTCATAGACATTTTTTAATTGCATGAATGAAATAGGGCCTAGCTTGGAGAAAGCAGAACAAATTAGAATTAGGCAGTCCGTCAAGATTCCTCCTAGATCTGTGATTACATTGCAGTTCGATCTTTTGTCTGGGCTTGGTTGTTTCTCCAAATGCAAGTAATTTAGGGCTCTTCACAGTAAAGAGAATGGGTATATTTGTAGGGATGAGATACAGTTTTAGGAAAGCCCTTTGAAGGGATGGTTTTCAGGGGAGCCGTTCTTGGTTTACAGTGCCTTAAAGAACTTGAAGGGTGTTGAAGTCTTCATTAAGACTTCATTGTTATTCATCTTCATTAAGGGCAAGATAAGAAGAAACGGAACCTAATGGCAGGGCACTTCCTGCAGGACAGGAAGAAATTCCTGGAAGTAATTTAGTCTCCTCAGGAGAGCAGGTGATATAATTTGCATACAACAAAATGCACTCATCTATTGGGTAAAGTTTGATGAGTTTTAACAGATGAATACATTTGTGGCACTACTACCATGATCAAGGTATAGCACGTTGAACTGGCAGGCACAGAGGGAGAGCTAATATCTTTGGCTGCTTTGTCTTAAACACAGAGTTTATTCCACTTGTCATCGGCTGAGCTGAACCATTAAACTTGGGTTGCCTGGCTTATACATATGCTCACCCTGATGCTTAAGCTTCTCAGTGCCAGACACTGTCCGGAACTCTCTCAGTGAGACGGTAGTGGGGTTTGCTAGTTGGCCCTGGGAATGTAGGGAGGAGGTGCATGCGGAGGGTAGAAGAAAGGCAGGTGTCCTGAGATGAGCGGGTCTGCTCCCCACTCTGGAGTACCATGCATTCACTTTTTATACGATCATTGACGGAGCATCGACTCTGCCCAGGCATGGCATTAGGTTATGTGGTTACCATGGAGAATAAGATAGATAACTGTTTTCTGAACAAGGTGACCTTAAAATACTCTGCCATCCTCTCCATAAAAATAAATCCACGTCTGTTAAATCTTTGAGATAGTGAGTTTGGAAAACAGAGCAACATACTTATTCCTCTCTATTTTCTTATTTCAGGTACTCTCATCCCCGCCCTATTACAGACTTTATCTAGCCTATCAGTAGATTAGAGAGCAGGGTCCTGCGCATCATTGCCTATTTCCACAAAATTCTTTGTCACTGACTTTTGGAAAGACAGGACCAAGAGCAGCCGTGTCCCCCGGTGGCAAAATATGCTGAAACAGCAGTCACAATATCCCACTGCCTGTAACCAGGTGGTGGTTCTCTCACATCTCTTTCACAGGCTCTGGTTCTGAGTCTCCTTGGCAGACACCATCCATCTGAAAAAAAATAAATGAAAATAAGTAAAAATCAACATACATGCATTCATTAAAATTGTGGAGTGTCCCAAAACAAGAAAGATAATGATGTGGATTCAAGTGGGACAGAAGTTCTCAAAGCCTCTGACAGCCAGCAATTGCCCCCAATCTGAGTGGCCGCCTCAATGTGCCATTTTCACCTTACAGTCAGAAACTCCAGGGACTCTGCAGCAATACTTGCTATGTTCTGAGGTGCTAGCTGACAGTCCAGATGAATATTCAATTAAATGGTTTCCAACCTGAGCTGGATCCTCTATTTCACATGATCAATTTTATTTTGGGAACTAATACAAAGAATAAAGAGAAACCGCGTGCAAATGCTATTATCTTATTTCACTAAATGTAATATGCCATCAATATCTAGGTGGAAACATAGAACACTGTCCCCTTAAAAACAATAGAGAGAAATGAGTTGTTGAGCTCTGTGGGAAGGCCAGTCCATTGATTGAATTTAGAGAATGGAAAGGAGGTGGGCTTGGGAATAAAGGTGATTTCCCTGTTCCCCAGGTAACTTGGGATGATGGTTTGAGGAAACTGAAAAAGGTGAGCTTTAAACGTTGTTCCAACCTGACATTTTATCATTTGACACCAAAGGAGATGGCAACCTGAACTGTTTGGTATCCATGATGCATCCTAGGGACTCTGACGGTGGCAATTTCCAATACGTGTTCTGGAAGCAACAGTCTTGTTATTGCCCAAGTACCTGCATGAGGCAGCAGAGGGGGTCCCCATCCTTTTATACTATCAGGCTCATCTGCAAGAAGGTGAGTAGAGAAGGGAGCTAGAAACTTGACTCTAGAAGCTTGAGAAAGCTATAAACGAAGCATGTTGGATGACTTTCTGAAAAATCTGTTTACTGCATTAGGTAGTGTTTTGGAGCTTGTATAGATAGACACAGTTTTGTCTTCTTTTAAGTAAATTCTTAGTTTAGTTTTTAAGCCCTGTAAAATGTAAGCATTTCAACATGATCTGCCAAAAATAATAGGTGTTTTTATGGTGCCCAGTACTTGTCACAGTATTATTTGCACGTTCCTGCATAATATCAGTGCTGGTCGATTGCTGTGGATGGACTGAAATGGCCAGTAAGCACACAGTCCCCCAGAGGGGTCACCTTCCTTCAGAACTCTCTGATGTGCATGGAAAGCAACAACAACAAAGACAATAAAACAGAAGCCACGCAAGAGGTTCTAATGGTCTGTTTCCCAGCTCCCTTAACAACACGGCAAGCAAGATGGAGTCAGGAACTGGGGGCTTCTAGAGGCTCTGAAAAGTCCTGATGACTCCACATGTGTTTCCAAAAATTACCTGACTTTAATTTGCCTCTGAGAAATTGTCACGTAGTCTGTAAACTCTCTCTCTGCTGAATTATTTAGCAAGACTTCAGAGTTTCCCATTTGTACCTTTTTCTTGATCTCCCAAATTTGATTTGATTTGCTAATTCTCTGTGGTGATATCCAAGGGTAAGCTTTGCTGATGCCCATGTTCACCATTTCTGCTGAAGGACACATATGTGATCTAACTGAGATTCCTGTCCTGCTCAGCCTTGCTTGTGGTGCATGGCTCCTGCATACTCGTTTTGCAACTGGTTCCTGTGTTGCCACATTGTCTTCTCTCCAAGACAGAAGAGAAGTTGACCTGCCTTGAACACTGCTAGCAGAGTATCTTGCCTGGTGTCAGCCCTCTGGAGCAAGCAATTTAGTTTTAACTCAAAGGCTGCAGCGACAGACATATTGCAATTTTCCAACTGCAGATTAAGACCCATTAGAGGGTCTTGAAACACATTTAATGGAGTACAACCAGCATTTTAAAGATGCCATCAAGTGGAACAGAACTGACTGGATGGTGAAATGTTACTGAGCCCTGAGTGTACTAAGGTCATATTGTTTGGTGACTTCGTTTCAGCTATATACATTTATCAATATAAATGCTCACATTCCGTCCTGATGTCAAATGCATGTCATTCTGTGGGGCTGCAATCAAAATAATTGGAAAGCTATTGAAACATTAAAGTTTGATTCCACTATCTTCAAAATTCTTGTTGCTGGGGAACGACAATTTCATTATTTAGGGAACTGGAGAG